AAATATTATAGATTGAGAGATAGATATGAATATGAAGAGATAGATAGATCAATCGATAGATTGATATGAATATGATAAATAGATCGATAGATAGAGACAAAAAAGAAGAGATAGATAGATATGAATAAGATAGATATGAATATGATAGATATATAGATATGTATATGATAGATAGATAGATAGATAGATAGATAGATAGATAGATAGATAGATATGAATATGATAGATATAAAATGGACGAATATTTTCTATGAAAATTTCTCGGACATTCAGACCGGTAAATGTTGTTTAATACTGTTTATTATAAACAGAGCATTTACTTAAATATTTGTATCTATAAAAGGAATGTATAAACGTAAAAATGTCTTAAAACAGATAGATATGAATATGATAAATAGATAAATTGATATGAATATTATCGATAGATAGATAGATAGAGAGATAGATAGATAGAAATGTATCGCCTGAGATATATAGATAGAAGGAAAGTGTGGGAAGTGTGTTTTAGGGTTCAAAAGCTAAGCAGAGTATTGAAAAAACAGAAAACATTCGTTAGAAACAAAGAAAATACTACTGAACTGTTAAGTAATATCAGTCCTCCTATATCACAGTGAATACTGGAAAATCTCCTCACAGTTGAAGAAGACACTTAAAGCAAGAGAAATGTGGTTCTAGTGAAGGATGCTTAGAATACCATGGACTGGACATGTGAGCAACGACGAAGTTCTAGAGAAAATAGAAGTTAAAAGGAAACATATACATAACATCAGAAAGAGGCAGCTGAAATGAGGAAAGAAGGATTGGAAAATCTAATACTTACAAGACTGATTGACGGCAAGAGGAAGAAGGAAAACAACGCATAACCTAATTAGTGAGCTTGAGTAAATTTAATAAAAAATATGTGTCCTCCGGCAGGAATCGAACCTGTATCCTATACGGAACCGTCACATAGTCTGGCGTGGTATACCATTTAGATACAGATTTTAGATTTGGCTAGCAAGATCGAATTACTGCTTTTAAACTACAAATTTCCCATGATTTCTCTCGAGCGATCATATCTGCTCGAACCTTGTCTTAACGTAAACAAATTTTCTATAAATTTTCTCGGACATTCAGGCCGGTAAAAGTTAATACTGTTTATTATAAACAAAGCATTTATTAAATTTTTGTATCTATAAAAATAACGTATAAAAAATAAATATATTAAAAAATAATTGTCGGGGTTAGTTCATTATAATATATATATATATATATATATATATATATATATATATATATATATATATATGATTGTTGAAACAAAATAAATGGTCGTATTTATATTCCATATCAGTACAACCTTTTTTTTTTCATTCTTGTTTGTACCGTTTCCTTGTTTATGTATATATATATATATATATATATATATATATATATATATATATATATATATATATAACATTTCATCTTTCCGTATATATATTATTTTATATCTATATATCATTTTAAAGTTCTGGATCACTTTTTTGTAATGTTTTCTGACAATTTTGATTGATTTTATTGTTTATTTATCTGATGTCTGTACATTTAGCTGTGGATCGGTCCAAGGCTATTTTAACCTCTACTCATGTATACATACATGCACACACACACACAAACATATATATATATATATATATATATATATATATATATATATATATATATAATTTATCATCTAAAAGTAAAAATTATTAGACGCATGAGAAATTGTATAAAAATTAAATCAAAGCACCTTGTCTATCGTATTCAATGAAATGTACATGAAAGAAGGATTGCTGCCTAAATACACACACACACACACACACACACACACACACACACACACACATATATATATATATATATATATATATATATATATATATATATAGAGAGAGAGAGAGAGAGAGAGAGAGACACACAGACACACACATATATATGAATTCATTGTCAGAGTCTTCTTCGAAAGAGACGGTGAAAACTAGATTACACTCATGTGCGCTTCTTTTATATTCATTCTAATTTCGGAAGACATTTGATTGATATTTTCTATAAGTTTCTTCCTTGGAATAAACTAAACAATGCAGATCTCAGCAATGAATATTGTATGAATCCAATCACCTTGGTATGTAACCTATATTTTATCTGTCTTCTTGCCGTTCTTCCGAACAATTCGCCCGTTCCCGAGTCCAACATCTCCCTACCCACCCGCACTTCAATAACATCTGTCAATGTTCGGTATATGCCAGTGGGGAGAAAGACCCGGTATAAATTTGGTAAAGACACTGCCAAATTTAGAATTCTCTATAAAGACTTGTACATGATGCATAGTTGAGACAAAAAGAAAAATGTTATCTCTTATAGAGGGGGACGATTTCATCCATCATTACTGGAGATCTTGTAGCAATTGCGATGAACCTTTTGAAAAGTCTACAGGAATTGAAACCCGGAGGAAGGATTGATTTTTTTTTTTACGGCTTGACTCAGCGAGAAGAAGCATTAGAACGTCCGGATGATAACATTACTATTATTATGATTCGAATGGACATTTCAGATTCTAGAATGGGGGATGTATGTATTGTGATTTTTAAAATTGCCAAGCATTGTTATAAAATCAACCTAAATTCGACTGAAATTGCTCTCATAAGTTTTTTTTTTTTTTAATAATTTCACACCGAGCAAGGCAATAAAGCCATTAAGACGCAGCGGGATTTTACTTGGTATTAAAGAACATGAGAAAAAATTCTATTAAGGAGAGAAAATAATAAAAGAACCAGAGTTAGGAAGACAGACGATAAAATTTTTGAAGATTAACTAGGAGGCAATAAGCCGGTAGAGTGTTCCACAAGCATGAAGTGTAATAGAAGAAACTGTTAGCATAGAACTTGCGGTTACATCTAGCCATTTCAAGTATAGAATGATGAAACCCTGCCGCCAGTATCGTACTGTCATTAAATTCATAAAGTCTAAGTACTATAGAAGAAAGTACATCATTACAGTTTCAATCGAAGTATTTATAGAAAAGGCACATGAAAATTACATGACGTCAGTAGAAAAGTGACTAAAGCTCTGATGCCAGGTCAAGACCAATAACATTGCAGAGTGGAAAGAAATGAAACAATATCTGACTTTACTTTTAGTTATTGTTTTCAAACCATTTCCCACCAAGCAAGGCAACATTCCTACTCACCGGCAGAGTTTACTGAGTGGGAAACAGTATAAGAAAACATTATCAAAGAGCAGAACAATTACAGAAGCGAATTTAAGAAGACACATGACAACGATTGACATTGCATTTAAAATTTTTAAAAGTATTTCTAAGTATTTGAGAAATACTTAATATGCAGCATAAAACGTTTATGGCTATAGCAGTAAGGACAGAGATATCCACAATGATTGCTTTCAGTCTGACGCATGTCTTCATATCAGTTTGATGTTTGCAGTGTTTATTTCTATGTGTACAAAGGCTAAATGATGATTCACCAGCAAAGATGATATTGACCCATTGTTCAATTGCCCCCTTTTAATAGTCTAGACAGCATTTTCTCGCTTATCAATGTTGAAATTTAGTTCTATCAGCAGCCGATTATGATGATTTAACAAATTATCAAAGAGTCGACCATAATTTCTAGCAAACTTTCAGAAGAGCTACAATCCCCGAGAGTTTATTGTAAACCTCTTGAACTGACCCAAAAGAAATGTTTAATCAAATTTGAGAAAATGTAACGATACTTTTCAGCACCCTCTCGTAATGAATGGCCTTCTTTTTAAATAAATCAGTAATTTATTTATTTATGAGTAATATATATCTACTTCGATTCAAATATTATTTGTAACCCAGACTTCAATCGTACAAAGACCAGAATAGATGTTGACCTTTGGATATACATTCAGTAAGCTGATATTTGAAAAGCAACTTAAAAATGATGTTAAATATTTGATCCGGCAAATTTCTTTGTCTGACAAAATATCGTCTGCTCACTTTACTAACGTTCTCTTTCTGTATCACTCAACAATAAGTCACTGAAGGCACTCTTTTAATGAATACAATACAATAGAATGAAATTAGTTTCATTTCATAGAGAGCAGACTGTATTACTTGTAACTAACCAATGAATTGACTAACAAAATTCTTTTCATAGATAGGGTTCTATTTTTACAGTGTCCTTGAAGTTGGTATCTTCTTCTTCTTCTTCTTCTTCTTTGTGCCATGTCAATTCAGATCAATGGTGATCATGGCTCTCCACACATGTCTGTCCTTTGTTTCATATTATTTTATTCATTTTGATATCTCTTCTCAACCCTGTTCTGTCATCCATTTACATAAGCTCATTTGATAGGTTAGGTGCTGTTTTCTTTCAATATTTCCTGTATCAGGTTTTTCCTAGCCGTCTTTCCTTATCATGTGTTCTAGAAATTTCAACTGCCTCTTTCTAATTGTAAATGTAATTATTTTGAGGAACTCTTCTCTATTATACCTATATATCAATTTTAGCGTTGTACTAGAAGATGGATCACTAATCTTACAGTTGAAATGGCTAGATGTAACCGTAAGTTCTCGACGAACAGTTTATTCTCTCGTACGTCTCGCTTGTGGGGCTCTCTTTCAGCCATTTTTTTTTTATCTTCAAAAGTTTAAATGCAATGACAATCGGCAGAATCTGTATTCTTAATTACTGTTCTTTCATTATTCTCTCTCGATAATAACGTTTGCCTTTTTCTCGTACGTTTTCACACTCAAAAAACGCTTACGTCTTAGTGGCTTTATTGCTTAATTTGGGTAGAAATGATAAAATATGTATTGAATATTGCTGTAAATTATCGTCTGGTGCTTGTGATTATGGATTTAGAGATTCTTGATAAAATACAAAGAAGAATACGCAATGTCTTAACCTGGCATCTCGGCGTCAGTCAATTTCCCACTGACGTAACTTAGCTTCCCTGTGCATTTTCTATTAATATTTTCCTTGTAATTGTTCTGATATCATTTCTTCTTTTGTAGCCAGACTTTATGAATTTAAGCGTGCTAGCGAGATTGCTGGCAAGGTCTCATCATTTAACAGTTGAAATTTCTAGATGTAAACATAAGTTCTATGTTAACATTTTCTTCTCTCGCACTTCTCCCTTGTAGAACTCTCTTCCGGCTTCTTTCTTCCCAGTTAAGTTTGATCTTCAAAAATGTAAATGCAATGTCAATCGTTATCTTCTGTCTTCTTAATTTCTTTTTTTTTTCATTTGTTTCGCTTCTTAGTAATGTTTTTTCTATATTCTTTCATACTCACAAACCCAGTGCGTCTTAGTGGCTTTATTACCCAGCTTGAGATGAAAAGGTTATAAAAATGAAAAAAGTTTGCCTTTTTCTTCTCATATTTTTTCACACTCAAAAAACCCCTACGTCTTAGTGGTTTTATTGCTTAATTTGGGTAGAAATGATAAAATATATATTGAATATTGCTGTAAATTATCGTCTGGTGCTTGTGATTATGTATTTAGAGATTCTTGATAAAATACAAAGAAGAATACACAATGTCCTAACCTGATATAGGGAAATGACATGTATAGCTTTTAAGTTTAAAAATCAGGAAGTATCATTTTTGTTTCCAGTTTCTCTAGAACTTTTTCGTTGCTCACATGTTCGGTTCATGGTATTCTCAGGATTCTTCTGTTGACTTAAGACTCTCCTTCATCTGTGTGGAGATTGTCCAGCATTCCCTGTCATATACGAGGATTGATATTACGTAAAAGTTCAGTACTCACTGAAGTTGGTATAATTAATCATAATCTAAATATATAAATGCAGGATTCGACCAAAATAAAGTCAGGGGTGGTAATATGAATAACAGTTTTATTTGCTCTATGGACTTATAAGTAGATATAGGGAAATAGCTTTTATCCGAATTAAACTAACTTCTTTGTTGCACATTGACAACTGAGGTTATCATTTGATAGATTACATTAGGGAAAAGCTGATTCATGCCTTTATCGATGAATATGTGCTGAGTAAATATAAACTACCGCATCTTGAATATAAATTCGACTCTCAGATTCAAATTTTTTATGTAAGCCCCATATCTTTTCTCCTCCATATTTCATTTTCTGATGAAGCTTTAAAAGCGAAACATGTTAAATTTATAAAAATTTCCTATTTGTTCTTTTTCTATCATTTTGTCGGATTTTAATTCATATTCGATATATATATATATATATATATATATATATATATATATATATATATATATATATAGGTTAATGATCAGAGTTGAATCAGACTAGGGAACAGTAGTATTAAAAAGTGCTCAATACGCGTGAGAAAAAAATAAGTAAAAATAAAAATAACATGTATAGCTTTTACGTTTAAAAATCAGGAAGTCAATTAAAATACGCGACCACGGGTTCGATCTGGCGGTCTCGACGGGCGATACATTTAAAATGACCACTTTTACACTTTATTTTAAAAAAAACCCACAAAGAACGCTACATAATTATCTTTCAAAAAAAAAAAGACAGGCGTATGATGATTGAAAGACAGGACATTCTGTGTAATGAGAAGGGAAGTGGAAAAGGAGGTGAAGGAAAGAATGAAAATGGAATAGGAATGCAAGTGTATTGTAAATGTATACTGTAAAAAGCGAAATCAAATATGTAACTTAATTTTTATGGAGGATGGGGGCCGCGTGACTAAAGGGTAATAGTGTTTTTTTTTTCATTTTATATTTTTTTAACCGGCTTCATATTCACTTACTAAAAATTTATATGAACAAGGGCTTAAAATTTATATATATATATATATATATATATATATATATATATATATATATATATCTTTTTTTCTATACGTTGTATTCCTTCAGAACTTGGACGATCCACAATCTCCTGTCTTTTAGTAGCTCTTTACTGTGGATGATCTAGCCATGAAAGCACTTTTAATTATAGTCGCATTCAAAATTATGGTCAGAATCATTACAGTGATCGCCTAATGCGTTTAATGTGTTGTTTTGTAAAAGGTTCCTTTTGTGTTCATATAATCGTTTTGGATTTCTCCCATGTATTCCTTGTGGTAATTATTGCAGGTGATAAGGTACATTGCCCATTCAAGTTTTGGCTTATTATTTTGTTTTGTATTATTTAAGTTTTTTGAATTGTTTTAGTAGTAGTTGCAACAGATTTTATGTAAAGCTTAGATAAATCAATACTCATTTATATTTCTGAGATGAGGCATTGTAAGTTTTGTTTTTTGCATTACCTCCAAATTCTTTTTCTACCAACAATTTACACAATCTCATTAGATAGGTTATTTGTTGCATTCTTCTCTTTCTCTTGCCTTCTATGTCTTGTGAGTGTCAAATTCTCCAAGCCCTCTTTCCTTATTATGTACCTGAAATATTTCAATCGTGGCTTTCAGATTTTAAGTGTAAGTGTGATTTTTGTTTTAAGTGTAAGTGTGGGTTTTGTTTTAATTTTCCATTTTTTGATTAGAAAAGTAATTTCCTCATTTACACT